TGCCTAAGAGGGCTATGTGACTGCCTACGGGGCTAGGGGACTACTGATAGGGGTATATAGGTTGTTTGGCACCTTCCGGGCTTATGGGGGCCTGAGTAGGTGGTCTTGTGTGCTGTTTGTACCTACCGAGCTTATGGGGGCTTGGTTAGGTTGTTTTTTGATCATTACTGTATTTTTTTAGATTTAGTAGTGGGTTAGCATGCTTATCTAAATTTGATTTCTTTACCTGATTGCTTTTGGTATATTATGATACTTGCTCATTTAGTCTATAGCCTTTCATACTCTGTTTTGTACTGACGCCCCATTGCCTGGGGGCGCTGCATTCATGTATGCAGGACCCGATAGACAACCCAGTTGACCTCCTCAACAGCAGGATTGAATTCTATCTAGTTGGCTAGCTCCTTTCCTCCGGAGCTGCTAGAGTTGGGAGGTTTGTTAGCTTTTGTTGTATATATTTTTATGGGTAGGCTGGGGTCCTGTCCCGCCAATCTTTACTACTCGTAGAGGCTTGCAGACTAGTGTGTGGGGTGTACATCTAGGTTATGGCCATGCTGGCCTAGTTTTGTTGGTTTGCTGAAGCTTGTGAGCTGTTTGATGTATTGTCTTGATATATACCTGCTTCCAGTTTTTGTATAGATATCATGCCTCGACGGCCCAGTCAAAACTTTTGTGCTAGTTGGCTATTTCTTTATATGAACTCTTGAGAGTAGTTATTTCTTTTATATATATGTTGACAGAGGCCTTGCCAGCCGAGGGCTTAGTTTTAAGCCGAGATATACTTGTTTGTTTCCTTGATTGCGCGTGGCTGCCATGCGCTAGTAGCAAATGGTTCAGCAGGGTTGGCTCGGGCCTGAGTTTTGGCATTAGGAGCCAGTTGCACCCCTCGAGTTTGGAGCGTGACACAAAGGGTAGCGATTGCGGGTTTCCCTTGTCATCAAAAAAAAAAAAAACAATTTTAGAATGTGGAAGAACTCTAATTTGCTATTTTGCAAGAAGGAGATGGCTTAAATCGCTAATGGGTTCAGAAATTTGGATATGAGTTGGCTAATAATTGGGTATCAACATATGAACTCCATGAGTCCATTTAGAAGGTGGGTCCAAGAGGTCCATTACGCGGAGGGGCATTTGTGATCCAAAGTGTAACGTGAGGAATTTAAATCCAATAACTCAAACAGAGGGTATATATAAACAATTTCTCAAAGTACATGGGTAAATATGATCCTTTTCCATTAAGCAAATACATGAATGATTTTTCTAGTCCTAAAATTCGAGATCAATGTGAAAGTAATCAGATCAGTTATCAGTTGAGTCAATCAAATTTTAACTTTCATGCATCTTCAGATTTCTGAACCAAAACCATTATGTACATCAATAAATTCCTAGTGAACTTCAAGAATCCTGGAAGAATGTTGTTGATAGAGAATGTCAAATTGATGTATGAGTTCCTAATTGACAATTCAATAAATATTGCAATGATGAACTAAAAGGCCAGTTCATTTTTAGCAGCAGAAGCAAATAAATCATGGAAACATTGACACAGCCCAGGCACTTCATTTTTTTATTTTTTATTTTAAAAAAGACATAACCCAGTGTTCCATAAGCATAAGAAATTTATGTAATTTCTGGCCAGGTTCTGCTAATCAGACACTAATCAATAACCTTTTGGTCAAGATTTTCATAAGAGAGGCTACCAGCTGTTTCTCACATTTATAAGGGTTTTCAGCTTGGTAAAGTCCAAGAAAACAAGATAGACCACAAATGTTGCATCTTTTTAGCACTACATCAACAAGCATTATTGAGTTCCTGAACATAGTAATTTAATAGGCTTCATGTTGATTCGGAAAAAAAAAAAGAAACTACTGAACTAAAGCACATCTAATAAAAAGAGATTTAACTAGAGATAATTGAATGAAGCACTTAATGATAAAAGATTCCTCACTTTTCTCTAACTTTTTTATTTTCTTTTTCCTTCTTTGGGTTGGAAGGGGATTTTACAACGCCACTACAGCCACTACATTAGGGTGAAACCAGATAAAGCAAAGTGCATCACCAGCTAAGAAATTATAAATTTCAGCCAAGAAGTTTGTAGCCGCATTACTTCACACTTCACTACTGAAGTGGTTTGTCTCATTGAAAGCACCCATAGATGATACATTTTGAAGCACAAAGGGATCAGTGGTTATAGCCTCTTCTTAATTCTGAAGCAAGAACGGCAACTTATTGATAACTTGATACTAATTAATTGTGTTCAAATCCAGAGCAGGCCCGCCAGCCCCTTGCAGGTAGAAGCTGAATAATTCAATAACCTGACCTGATTGTTCAATTTTGATTTACTTCTGGTAAGCTATTTAGAGATTCAGTCATATGTGACGCCTAGTCTCACTATGCATTCGTCCCAAATATTCTTAGAGTTTTCCCTTTGTTTAGACCTAATGATCAGTTACCACCATTTCAGTTCAAAATAGGCTTTGTTGCTCGGACTCTTCAAAACCGTCAACAGGTGCATGTCAGATTCTCCAAAAGTATTGTATTTTGAGAGAATCCGACACAGGTGCGGCATCGGAAATAGGACAGTTTTCCCTCCCAAAATTCAAGTGTGGATATTTAACCTCTAAATCTTCAAAAGAATCAATACTAAAAATTGCCTAGAAAGGAAGAACTTTTAAAACAAAAGAGAAAATGAAGAGATAACTTAATAAAAACCTGTAAATTGCTATCATGTCAACTTCACCAGCCTCAGCTTGACTATCTGTTGCTGTAGGATTTATCCTGTCATCTATAAAACTATCATCAAATGAACCGAAATCCAGCTTATCCTCCTCGTCATCAGATACTGAAACTTCTGAAGACACCCTGTGTAAGAACCAGTACTTTAGAAACATATCAGGAGATAGTGGTGAACCCATGATTTTGAAGGGTCAAATGAACACAAAAACTTGAATATGATAGTTGGACAGTAGGGATTATTGTATATATATTCCCCTAATACCCTTGAAAAATGTCGTTTTGAGATTGTATTCCATTTAAAAATAAATAAATAGTTACACAAAATAACATCATTTTCTACTATACAATTACACATCTTCTTGTGTTTGTGTACATCAAGCAAGTCACAGAAAAACAAAAATAAGTAACAAGAAAGAAACAAATATATCAAGTTTTAACTATTTATAAGACAACAAATTTTCCTCTAGTGCAAAATGTTGTATTCCTCAGCATTAAGGACATGATGAAAACCCAAAAGAGAACAGAATTATAAGGAGCCTAAGATACCTACTATCTGTTCAACTTCATCTATACATACTCTTTATACCAAAAAAGAAAGGATATAGTACAAATCCATTTTACTTTAAGTGGGATTAAACCTATCCTGAAAACATCTCCCATTTCTCTCTCTCCATATTGTCCACCATATGCAAGCTGGGATTACTTTCCACCATTTCTTTTGGCTTTTACTTCCACCTCTCCTAATATCCAACAACTCAGAAGATTAACAGTATGTTCTGGCATCAACCAATTTGTTTCTGTGACGCTTAGGAATGATGACCAGATCTGTGAAGCTATTTACAATAGAAAAACAAGTGGCTATTAGTCTCTTCTGCCTCGTTACATAAGAAACATGTAGAGAATATTTGAATCCCCTTCTTTTCAGCTTTTGTGTGAGACATGCCTTCTTAGCCACCAACTAGGAAAAACATCTAACCTTAGTTGGTGCCCAACTTATCCAGATTTGTTTACATGGTCCTTCTCCCCCTCCTAGCTGCTTCCTCATCCCTATTTTGTGATCTGTTCACAGAAAATTTCTCATCAGTAACATGCTTCCAATTGATTGTGTCTGGAGTTGAAGAAACTCCTTTGAAGCTGCTTACTTCATGTAATAAATGAGTCAATCTATCCACTTCCCAATCTTTCGCATATCTCCTAAAATGAAGTTCTCATCTATAAATGAACCAGCTTTCAGCCACTGTAGCCTCAGGATTAGTGCAGAAAGAGAATAGGTCAGGATAGGAGTTCACCAAAGCCACCTGGCCATTCTATTCATCTTTCCAGAAAAGAATTTTGTGACCAGTGTCCACCTTCATGATAACATTCTCAGATAATCTAGTTCAAAGACCCCTGATTGACCTCCAAACTAAAATTCCATAGGTATTAGGGACAGAGTTGGTGACCCATGGCCTGCTTAGGCCATATTTATTATGTATGACCTCCTTTCACAGTGTTTGATCTTTACTAGTACATCTCCATAACCATTTCATCATCAAGCACTCATTCCAAAACCTCAAATTTTTAATACCAAGACCACCTGAATTCTCTGAGCTGAGCAGTGGACCACTTCACTAAATGCATACCCTTTCCTTCCTTGTTTCCAAACCACAAGAAGTCCCTTCTCAATTTGTCTAGCTTCCTGATTACTTTGGAGGGGATTGGAAATAATCACATAACATAGGTTGGTAATGAAATTAACACTGCATTCATCAAAATGAGTCTGCTCCCTAGTGACAAATATTGGAATTTCCAAACGGATACCTTTTTCGCTGTTTCTTCAATTATCCCATCCCATATCTTTCAGTTTTGTTTATTGCCTTAAGGCATGCCCAAATAAACAGTAGGCAGATGCTCTATGCTACACCCCAAGATATTAGCAAACCCCTGCATCTGTGCCACTTCCTTAATAGGAAATAATTCCGTTTCCTCTGGTTCACACTCAAACCAGAACTGCCTCAAAAGTCAATAGTATCACTTTGATGTAGCTAATTTGTTTTGTTTTAGCCTCATAGAAGACCACAGTACCATCTGTATAAAGCAGTTGACATATTTGCTAATTCTCACTTGTCCTGTTGTTGAGTTTGAAACCCTTCAACCACCCATTATTGATAGCAGTCCTCATCATACCAATAAGTCCTTCCATAACTAATATGAATAGAAAAAGTGAAAGAGCATCACCTTGCCTGAGAACTCTTTCAGCAGGAAAAAACCCAAAGGTTTTCACTAATCAAAATAGAGAACCTAACAGTTTGGCATAACCGGTAAAGTTGTTGCCATGTAACCAGGAGGTCACAGGTTCGAGCTGTGGAAACAACCACCTGCGAAATTGCAGGGTAAGGCTGCATCCATAGGCCCTTCCCCAGACCCCATACATAGCGGGAGCTTAGTGCACCAGGCTTCCCTTTTTATCTGTTGCTACTCACTTTTTCCCCTCAGACACTTGAGGAACTTTTACATTTCCCTCTTCTGTAGTGGACAGCGGTCGGACAGGAAAAACACAAAACTGAAAGAAGCATTATAAGACAGGAAGGAATCAGACATGAATGAAAGGAATTCCTTGTTAGAGCCACAATAAACAAAGAAGAGAAGCAAAGAGCTAGAGATTACAATCTAGACTTCAGTTATTCACACTCCCCCGACTACAAAAGAATGAAAAGGCCAGATACTCAATTCTCATGAAGAATGAAATACGAAAAACAAGAAGGAAGTCAAATAACTTTCAATATTCCTCAGTGAAATCAAATGAACAAAATAGAACGTATACTAGTAGATTTTAGCATCACTAGGTACTACCAGCACCAATGTCAACATATTGACTATGCAATCCATCTATATGTGCTTATTTCAAGTGAGCTAAGTAGCACCAACTATAATAGGAAGCATGAAATTTTCCAGTTCTCTAAGAATGAACTTACTCAGCTTCCTCCTCAATGAAGTCTGTCACAATGTTTGGCTGTCGTTTCTCACCTGATGGCAATAACAGATGCATCAATATCCTTTTTTTCATCAAGATAAGCTTACTTCTCAAATGGCATAGAATACTAAATCCTTTAGAAGGTTGTGAAAAGTATATTGTCAATTAAAACACTCTAGCATTGAAAGGCAGGAAGGATTAGCAGCAAGTATGCTGTTTCTTTCAATAAAAAGGAAAACACTCAAGTTACCTATAGCTCTTCGACGCTTGAAACCAGTATGACTGGAAGTGCCACACAGAGCTGCCCCTCTTCTGGAAGTACTAGTATTTAGCTCGTCTGGTGGCTTTCTTCTAGGAAGATCACCATGTTTAAACAATCTTCTAAACTTCCGTATTTTCCCAATGCTATCTGATTTATCTGTAGAGCGCAGTTGCCAGTCTTCGCTGCAGCTTTTGCCTGATTTTTTTTCCATAGGAGTTTGTTTATCTTCAACAATTAAACTAGTGTACTTGCAACTTCTGGGTTCAGTATTGTCAATGTTTTGTATAGGAGTTGACATTTCATTATATTTTCCACGGGTACTACTGCCACCCACTGTCTTTTCATTCTGTTCCGAAGATAATTTTGGTGTTGAAAATAGATCTTTAACCATGATCTCTACACTTTTATCCTTAAACACTGCTGCAAAAGAAAAAATAAAACGTTTAAGGTAACAAAAGATAGGGCTGCAAAAAATAAGGGCATAATTCCCTTAAAAAGACTTGGGTTAAGGAAAAGAAACAGACTGTCAGTTGTAGGAGATTCTGGGACAAAGCCGCTATTGATGAAGTTGGTCAGACGTGGACTAAGCTCCATATCTCCAATAGTTTCGTCTGGCTCATCAGCTCCTATTGGTGTCCCCCGAATTTGGACTTCCAGACTCTCACCTATGCTCTTACCTTCTGGTTTAACCTTGTGATCTGGACTTCCAAAACTCCTCTCACAGATATCAGATATCTTCTGTTGCTTTGCATTAGACACACAAATTCTTGATGCTTCCAGATTATTTTTTTCTGTAGTAACTGTCCGAGTAGAATAAACACCTTTGACTCCATCGGTCTTTTCCTCCAGATCATTCACTGAAACCTTCCCATGAAGAGGATCTTTTTCGGGCATATTGAACTTTGCAAATAATCTGGTGCTTGTAAATTTAGAAACCAAAGTTTCTTTAAGAGATAGTTGGGTAAGAGATGAGACTATAACCCTCCCCTGATCATCAACACTTACAAAATCTGAATTGAATAGGAAGCCATGCGCATGAGAATTTCCCCCTGGAAATATGTCAAGAAGAAGTGTCTTTCTATTACTTCGGATTTCCACTGGAATGGAGTCACTGTTTTTTTCTCTTTTACAATCATCTTCATTAGAACAGCCTGTATGAATTTGAAATACTTTAGATACGAGTACACACATACATCCAAATTCTTTTTTTTCTGAACTATTCTTGCTTCTCTTCTATTTTCTTTTGCTTGATGTAGAAGACATAAGAAATAAACGATCCTCTTAAATTTGGCAAAATCAGGATCAAGGGGACATTAGCATAAGTTTCAATGTTATTTGGCCCTCTTGCCTCTATTTCACCAAGAAAATAAAACATGAGCCTGTTCGTGAAAACATAACAATGGTAGCTTCAACTGTTTGGATAAGGCTTAACATATTACAGATATGGACAACGAAGCACAGCCAGCTATTTCATGTGTTAAAGATGATTATCGCACCAGAACCAAATTCTTAAATAATTCGGAAGAAAATAAGAGCTAGTCTATCATACAATAATAGTAGCATTTCATGTGTTAAAGATCATTACAGCACCAGAACCAGATTCTAAAATAATCGACGAACAAAATAAGAGCTAGTCTATCAGAGGATTGAAGAGAATACTTTTCCTACAACTAGATTGAAGAGGATACTCATAACCACCCTTGCACATGTTACAAAAGGCACATACTACATAGGCACCTTTTCATATAATATACATAGTAAACTATAAGTAGAGATATTTACGGATTTTTTTAAATTTGTTTTCTTAGATAGATTCACGTGTCATGTATAAATAGCTCTTATTCTTGGAACAAAACAATGAGGAATTCTTCCTTCCAAATTCTTGGTTTACTTAATGTTGGGCTCCCATATTATGTTTGTGAGAAATATAGGATTATTGAATTGTATATCTACATTATTACATAGAGACCCTATTTATAAACACTACTATACATTCTTTTACCCAGTAAGATACTACATACTATTCTTATTCTAATTCTAAGTAAGATTGTATATTCTTATTCTAACACTCCCCTCAAACTGGTGCATACAATAATATGCACCTACCTTGTTACAAATGTAATTAATACACGGACAAGTGAGGGACTTGGTAAAGATATTTGCAAGCTCATCACTTGACTTCACAAATTTTGTAATAATGAGTATCTTTTCTCTGACAAAGTGACAAGCAATCTCAATATGCTTAGTGCTTTCATGAAACACTGATCTGACGCAATATGAAGGGCCGCTTGATTATCACACACAAGTTCCAAGTTCCATCTGACTGATTTCGCCAAATTTAAGCTCTCAGCAACTGTTTGATCCTAACTTGCTCACAAGTTCCTACAACCATTGCTCGATATTCTACTTCTGCACTAGATTGACCAACCACACTTTATTTCGTACCCTTCCACGACACCAGATTACCTCTTACTAAAACACAATATCCTAATGTAAAACGTCTATCAGAGGGTGATCCTGCCCAATCAGCATTTGTATATCCAATGATATGCTCATGGTCTTGATCTTCGAAGAGTATTTTACTAGGAGTTGATTATATATATTGCAAAATACAAACAACTACATCCCAAAGACTATCACAAGGGGAAGTCATAAACTGACTTACAACACTCACAGGAAAAGAGGAAAAGAGATGCCAGGTCTAGTCATTATGAGATAATTCAACTTTCCAACCAGTCGTCTATACCTTTCAGGATTACTGAATGGCTCCCCGTGTCCGAAGACGAGTTTAACATTTGGATCCATATGAGTGTCAATGGGTCTACATCCCATCATTCTTGTCTCCTCAAGAATGTCCAAGGCAAACTTGCATTGAGAAATAGCAAAACCTGGTCCAGACTTAGCAACCTTAATACCTAAAAAATACTTCAATCTGCTAAGGTCTTTAGGGGAAATGCTTAAAGAGATGTTGCTTCAAATTAGTGATATCATCTCGATCATTGCTAGTGATAACAATATCATCAACATAAACAACCAAATAAATACAAAGACTTCGTGCAGAATGCTGATAAAACACAAAGTGATCAACTCCACTTTAAGTCATGCCAAACTCTTGAATTACAGTGTTGAATTTTCCAACCAAACCTCGAGGAGACTGTTTCAAATCATAGAGTGACTTACGCAATCGACATACAAGGCTACTAGGCTCTCCTTGAGCAACAAAACTGGTGGTTGCTCCATATAAACTTCTTTCATAAGATTACCATGAAGAAAAACATTCTTTTTGATAAAGGTAACATTTCCATGAAGAAAAGAAAAACATTCTTAATGTCCAACTGATGAAGAGGCCAATGACGAACAACAGCCATAGATAGAAAAAGACAGACAAATGCTATTTTAGCCATAGCAGCGAAAGTATCACTATAATCAAGCCCAAATATCTGAGTATACCCTTTGGCAACAAGGTAAGCCTTAAGCCGATCAACCTGATTTTCTGGACCAATTTTACTGCATAAATCCAACAGCAAGCGATAGTTGATTTACCTACAAGAAGGGAGACAAGCTCCCAAGTACCACTCATATGTAAAACAAACATCTCATTAATCATAGCATGCCTCCATCCAGAATGAGAAAGTGCTTCACCTATAGTCATAGCAATGGATAATAGAAAACAAAGATGGTACAAAGGCATAATGGGGTAATCATACACGATGACAACTCAAGAAAGTATAATGTGGGTTAGCATTTTAAGTGGATGGCAAACCTTTTTGAAGTGCAATTGATTGGCTAGGAGGATGCAAGTCCACAGTAGGAGTAGGGTCTGGTGCATGACATATATCATCTAGGACTAGTGTTGGGTGCAGACGGCGATTATAAGTTAAGAGTGGTGGCACTACAACTAGAGATCTAGAAGTAACCATAGATTCGTCAAAAGTCTGTACAGGTAAGACATGAGGTATGGATAAGACCTCAAAGTCATCAGGATGATCAGAAGATGTATAGTAAGGTTAAGACTTAAAGAATGTGACATCGGCGGACATAAGGTATAGATGGAGATTAGGTGAATAGCAATGATACCCTAATTGAACTCAAGAGTAACCAAGAAAGAAACATTTAAGAGCACAAGAGGGCTAATTTATCTTCTCGAGGAGCTGAGTTATGAACAAAGCATGTACTCCCAAAGACACGAGGAGAATAGAGAAGAGATGTGACTCAAGAAATAGTATGGAACGTGGAACTTGATTTTGAATAGAATATGAGGAAACTATACTAACTAAATAACAAGATGTAAGGACTACATCGCCTCAAAAATGCAGTGGAACATGAGATTCAATGAGAAGAGTGCGAGAAGTCCCACAAGATGCCTATTCTTCCTTTCAGGGTGTAGGACAAGATGTCACAGATCACAAGACAGATAATATTGATATTTTCTAGCTTTCAATCACACAAAGCATCCTCTCTGAAGGTTGTAGTTGATAGGCCAACCTTTAATAGCTTGGGACCTGAGACTGTTAAACCAACCTCCTCTATTATCTTGTCATTTGTACGGGTGCCAAAACTTGCATTCAATTAAATCACTATGAATAGACTTGTCAAAGATCAATTGTTCAATCTCATTGTTCAAGATCTTATGATGAAGCAAGGGTGTAAAGCCTCTACATTTTGACAAATAGGTGCCTCGGTTAGTTGTCAGCTCTAGTGTCATGTTTCCATTTAAAGCACATTGTCCGTTGGGACATCTTTCCTCCCTACGTTAAAAAGTTGGCCTCATTTCACGAATATCTCTTCATTGGATTGTGAGTCATGCCAGTTTGCAAAACATTATCATAGCCCATTAGGTCCAAGGGTAAATAAACCGGTGTATTTTCTGAGTTAGTTCACTTCAATGTTTGGGGACCATCGTTGTTGTGTCCAAAACTGGGTACAAGTATTTTGATACTTTTGTGGATGACTTTTCTCAATTGACTTGGATTTATATAATGAAGAACCCCTTGGAAGTATTTTCCCACTTGTGTGCCTTTAGTCCCAAAGTTAAACTCAATACAATGTTTTGGTGGATGTATTAAGATGTATTAATACCAAAAAGTACATGTCATACCATTTTGAACCTACATGAGACAGCAAGGGATTCTCCACCGGCCATCTTGTGTTGAAACACCTTCTCAAAATGGAGTAGTTGAAAGGAAGAATATGCATCTGCTTGAGACAGCTTGGGCACAAATGTTCCAACAAAAGTTCCGAAACAGTTTTGGGGTCGATGCAACCTCTACAATTCGTTTTCTAATAAATTGCAACCTTCTATTGTGCTTAAAGGTGATGTACCTTATAATGTTCTCTCTCCAAATAATTCATCATTCCACGTGGCCTAGGGTGTCTAGGAGCACATGTTATGTTCAAGATGTATGCATTGAAGTGTGTTTGCTTAGACTATTTTTGTCTTCAAAAGGGGTATCATTGTTAGTTGTTACTGACTAAACTTGGTAAACATTTTGTGTCCACTAATGTAGTATTTTTGTAAAATACACCATTCTACTGTGCACCTTCAAATTTTATAAGTTAGGGGGGAGGAAAATGAGTGGTTAATATACCAAGTGACACCTTTAGATGTTTCAACTGAAATAAGATGTTCCTCCTACATCTCCCAGTTCTTCTATTAAGCACCAACTGATTTCAGTGTCTCAAATCAGTAGTTGCACCTTCTGCTTCAACATGACCACCAATTGTCCAAGTTTATTTCATAAGGAGAGAGACCAATGATACATGTCAATCCATGCACCAATTCTTTTGTCATCAGACCCTCCTCCCCTTGATCCTCCCAAAATTTTTGACATTCCAATTGCTCTTCACAAAGGTACACATCAATGCAAATCCACATATTCCATTGGTATTTTTTTTTCTTATCTCCTGCATCCAGTGTTTGATTGCCTCTCTAAACTCTATTTCTATCCCTAAAACCGTGAAGGACGCATTGAATCATCTTAGATGGCACAAAGCAATGTTTGATGATTTGAGGTTGACTGTCTCTTTATCCGTGAGAAGATCCAAGGAAGCCTAATTTCTAGGGGCCATGTGAAGACGGAAAAGCAATTGGGTAACATATTCACATCTTCACGAAGGCTTTAAATGGAATTCAGGTAGAATAGCTTTGTAACAAATTGGCACTATTAATATCTATGGACCAATTTGAGGAGAAGCATTATAGAATGAAGTATGAACACAGGCACCTTTTCAAATAGTGCACATCACACAATTATTGGTAGAGATATTTAGGGATTTTTCTGGTTTTGTTTCCTTAGATAGATTCAGTTGTACATGATAGCTCTTATTCTTGGAATAATACAATGAGGAATTCTTCCCTTGTCTCTTTTAGTTACAGCACAAAACCAGATACAAACAGACTCGAAATATTTTTGAAAGTTGGTGTTAATTCATATATAAAATGACAAAATGCAGGCAACAGGTTGAATGATTTCAATGTTTCTTACATTGAGATTAACCCCAGGGCTAAATGGGATATGCAAATTTATGTTGTAAAGTTCCAGTTCATAATCCAAATTGGACCAATGGACATCTTGTCTATACTGGCACCATAAATCAGATTTTTACTTTCTTGTTTGGGGGGAAGCTTCGCTAGGATGATCTATTTTGTTGTAGTGGCATAAACAAAAATGTGCAACCTTCATCTTTTACACGTCTCCATTAAATTATGATGGGTACTAAGAAAAAGTGTTGTTACATTGAAATGGCTGGAGATATATCTGCTGCATCATGTTAAACTTGTGTAAATTGCTGAAGGTATCTTATCAAAGGCAAATTAACATATCATAACACAATTTGTAATAGTTGAATTATTGAATGTTACTACCAATTCCATTTGATGAAAAGATCAACAATTTCGGTCAGACTCAGTGATAATGTAGAGCCAATCTATTAGGGAAGTAAACAGATTATCAAACATAATTACTAAAATGTTCGAACTGCTGAATAGTTTTGCTGATGAATCTATTGAGTATGTATAAAAGTTACCTTTCAGATTTTCTTCACATGGTTCGGTAGCTTCAACTTTCATAGACAAATTTTCTGAAGTTTCATCCTGAGTCATCAAAGAGAAGTGATTCAATTTTCAGTTATTCTACAAAATAAGAAGTTAAGCAAATGTCACTGTGAGAACCTCATTGCTAGAAGCTTTGACATCTCGAGGAAAAGGCATTTCTTGCAAATTTTGCATGGCATCTATTAGCATCCCTGTTCTAAATGAATGCACCACTCTGTGCACTTTGGATGGAAATGCCTGGGAATGACGGAAGGCAATAAGCGATGGTCTCCATGTGTCCTGAGCCTCCTGACCAGTAAACTTGAAATATTTTGCGAGCAAGTTTGCTTCTTCATCACTTAATTTATTCTGGAATGCAGACACCCGTATAGGGTGAACATCTTTGGTGTTTTTTCCTCGAGGAACAAACTGTGGAATTGATAGCTTGAGAAACTGGACTTCTGGTTTAAAAATATGTGGAATCTACAATATACAAACAAACAAACTTAAGAAGGTAATGGTTTACATGAAGTGGTGAGAAATCTGTTGATATGACATACCATCCTCGAACTGGAATGAAATGAAAAGCTATTCATTCCCCCATTTCTCATGTCTTTGATAATTGTCTTGCCGCTTGTTTGCTTTTGCAAGTAACCTTTTAACTCTCTCCCTTCGTAAGCTAAAACCAGTAGAACTTCATTAAGGAAATCTATTGAAATAATAAACACATCAAAAAATAATTTGGGTGCCAGAAACTGGATATTTCAAGTGCAGAGAAAAAAAAACGTGTACTTGAAGAAAACAATTTTTAGCAACTGAAAGGGGAAAAAAAACTAAACTAGATGAAAAGGATATCAACTCTTCCTTCATGTTTCCTTCCTGTTCTGCCCATGCGCTGAATCATTCTCAAAGGTGATATATTAGCATCAAAGCATATGACAAGATCTACTTCCATGATGTCCAGACCTTCTTCACCAATTGATGTTGCAACAATGACATTGTATTCACCAGTTCGAAATTTCTACATGAAAAAGTCAATTCAAGAAAGGTCGACTGTCAAGTGACAACAGAAAGAGAGCAAAAGAATTACCTCCAAAACAGCCTGTTGATTTTTTTGTGATTGGCCTTTTGATGCTTTGCCTGCAAAGAAGTTCATGAAATAATGGCATGAGAACTGCAGATTCTTAGAACTAAAAATGGAAGAGATGTGTGGAGGAAAATTTCAGTTTGACATATCATCATCAGGAATTGGGACAAACTGAAATATTTGAGGAAAGATACACCATAAAAGTTAAAAGATATTCCTCCTCCAATTTAGTGAAAGGGCTACCATTGTAATTCCATCCTGAGGACTGAAGATAATAAGTGTTTCACGTGATAAATGAGATATGAGCACCAGAAACAGGCAAGGGGAGTTGTCAAAGGCAGAAAGACAGAAATGCGCCAAGGTTTTGGCGTTCTGCTGGGGCTTTAAGCGTAAAGCACAATTGAAGCATGGGCTTTAGCGAGAAAGGCTAATGAGGAATGTGTGTGCGTGTGATGCATGAAAAAAAATCATTGTAAAGACAATCAATTTTTTTGGACAAGAGAATTGAGAAAACTATAATCAAGAGAAAATATGAGGAAACAATCATGTCAACCATTTGATTTAGATGCTAAAATACAATTTTAAGTTTTTCGTGACTATTTTCTGTTACTAAATTTCCAGGTTCTTATAAACCTAATCACTAAAAATACATTACATTTTGTTAACAATAAATATAGTTACTTTATTAGATATTTATTTTCTAGTGCTACCCTCTTAGGAAAATCCATGGCCCATGAGGCGTTTGCCTGAAAACCTTGGTGCCTGCACCCAAGCGCCTACCTGAGCTTCACATAACATCAGGACTTACGCATGCCTAAAGTGAGTCTTTAGCAACACTGCGGCTACAAACTTTGTCATAAAGACTAAAGCACAGTAGTTTAAGTTTCACTTATCATAAATTACTTTTGCTACAGCATGCATTTCTCCATGGTATAACGTCAGTCTTTGACTTGTCTTTTTGGGGGAGGAGGGAAGCAGAATCAGCTATCTGACTGTACATCAAACTTAGGAGGGATTCAAATTTTTAAATTTTGAAGCTCAAGCATATTGGTTTTGGGGCTCGCGCCAAAGCTCACACCCTGACCAAAAGATGTGGTTCTAACACGTTGTAACTGGAAAGACACAGGAAAATGGCAATGCAAGTATATGTCGTATCTTAAAACAGATGTATGTTCAGAAAATTGCAATCATGAGTTATGACTGAAGACCAACTGATAAGCTCAAATATGAAGTCATTGCTGGGTAAAACCTTGATTTCAGCAAACATGGTAATGATAATAAACTGCTACATAAGGAGAAATGACCAGTACGCCTCTTAATATTATTGCGCAAGAACAATCTGACGGCCTATTCCAAGAGGAAAATAGCCCTTGTCTAACAAAGAACAGATTAAAATACCAACACAGTAGGAAATTGATCCATTGAAACGTATAGGGTAGGGGTACCTGAGCTTTGGCCTATGAACTCAGTAGCTTTAACTAAATCCGTTAAACTCCTCAAAGAAAGCAATATGTCACTGCAGCCAAAATCAGGTTTTCAGAATTTTAAAGTAAGAATAATATTGCAATCAAGTAACTGAAGTGTGAGAATAGCATTGCGAGGGACTCATAGAAGCTTTACCTGACACTTTGTCTAAAATTTGAGAAAATGATAACCCTTGATTTTTTTGGATCACTCATTTCTGCAACAGATGGAAGGATATCAAAGGAAATTACAAAGTAGGATGCACTAAATTTACCATGAGAAGGTCCAAGCAAGAATTCTGAAAAAGAAAAAGGAAATCCTAGAGAGTGAAAACTACTAATAACTTAGTATCTGATATTACAGGATCCCACTTTCCATAAAGTCCAATTGACAATTTGCACAAGAGATGACATTTCTTCTTGCTAATTTAGTGCACCATATAGGAAACTGAGTGAGCTACATAATTAAAATGTTATAAATATAAATGGCTAGCCTAGATTTGACTGTACTCCAGTTTGCATCAGAAGCTACAAATGAACTTCAAATCCACCATCAGCAAAGAATAATGCTTCATATTCACCTATTTCTATTTATCAACTTGACTTTGGTTTGTCATTTTCCCGAGGGTAAAAATACCCTGAGCATGAGTGCAACACAGTGCTGAGCTGATGACACCTAAAGCATGTGAGGCATTCATGATTCGTCTTTTAACATGAAAATCAATGTGTAATAAGGTACTATTACCAAAGGAGCTTATCTATGGCCTAAATATCTGCACTGCTTGTTTTGGTGGCCGTAAGACCTCTAACTTGGAACAAAGTTATCAGTAGACAATGTTTATCTTTCATTGACATGGTTCAAGAATTTTACGAACAGTCCAGAATGTAACAGAAGAAATAAGTTAAAAAATTGTGGTTTTGTGGAAGACGGGAATGGTAGAAGAATGTATTATCCCATTTAAAATTCCCTAGGACTAAACAACATTCTTAAGTTCGATTTCTTTTTCCAAATAAGTAACAAAAGCTTCACAAAAAACAGTAGAAACTAAATCACAGTTCTCCAATACAACAACAACAACATACCCAGTGAAATCCCACAAAGTGGGGTCTGGGGAGGGTAAAGTGTACGCAGACCTTACCACTACCTCGTGGAGGTAGAGAGGCTGTTTCCGGAGGACCCTCGGCTCAAGTACATCCAAACCAAGCAGGAGAAGAGGAGACATTATATATAACATAACACCCAATAAGAAACAGTGCACAATCAACAACGGAGATATAGTTGCTGATGTGCCACCACAATCAACTCGGCTCAATCACAGTTCTCCAATATTAAACTCAAATGATATAGTTGCTGATGTGCCACTAGCTTTACCTCTATAAGGATTACTAAGATGGGAGAAATCTAAAATTTATAACAAGTACAATCCTTAAATGAATTTGCAAAATTAAAAGAATCGAATAACACACCCAAACTCTCAAACCTATAAACAAACAATCAAGATTTCATCAATAAAATGATGTCCTAACCAAAAACCACTAAAAGCATGCTTCAAAGCTGTTTTGCATCCACATAACATAGACAGGTTGCTCATTGAACAGTTAAAATTAACAAATACTTAAACAAACAGAAGAATATGATATGTAACATACTGAAATGATCAATCAGTATTTCCAACGTTTTTGATAACTTAGGACTAGGAGCACCATGAGATACAACTTGCTGCATTAAACGCTTTGCTTTCAAAAGAATTTCATTTCTTCCCATCAGTCGTCCGAAGAACCTGTAAACAACAAACACATATTTATAGAACAGACAAAAGCTTCCATTAAACTATCTAATCTTTCAGAAAAGAAGAGGTCATAGTTTTACAAAATGGTGAAATTAACTGCACAATACGTATATGACTATATCTTGGATGCAATTGGTCGTTAGAAATGTGATGGCACATTGAAATGGATTGGGGCAGTATGTTATTAAAAGGGATATTATTGTTCAAACCAAATCCACTCATCAAAAACGAAATAGCACTCTTTCAGCAAGTTGAATTAATCAAATTCCGGAAGCTCAAAGAGAACAAACTTGGATTGCAGTTTTTCTTCAAGCATCTCAAATGCAGATTTTATCCCATGGCTCGAGAGCAGCTTCACTATATGGGAAAGTGTTATTAGAACTCCATATAGTCCATCAATTTCTTGAAACTTCACTTGAGGCAAATTTTGAGGTGGAGCTTCACGAAATCTTGACCGTGAATCAAGTATCAGATGTGGGCTTAACTGCAAATTGGACAAGACAAATAAACCTTAGAAAGGAACAAGTGTGTGTGTATATATATAAAGGAGAGAGAGAGAGACTTAAAACAACAAAAAAACGAAGACAACTACATATACAGAAGAGGGATTGTCCTATCCAATGTTAGAAGTGACAACAGTAACATAAAATAGATAAAATGGAAGAAGGGCACATTCTATATGTACATATGAACATGGTTAGCATGCTGACTGTATAATCTTAAGAAATTGGAAAACATGATACATTAACAAATCAATAGTTCAATTCTACTATTCCCTGCTCGTTCAATGTACCCTCTTGTATGCTAATGTGCTTTTGGTTAAAGCATATATAGGACCGCTTGTATTTTATAGTACTCTGATTATCTCGCAGATTGAAAATCGTCCTGATCTGTACTTAAGAGTAGAAACCTCTAGCATCATATTAGTACAATCTGTCATAAGAGCACACACCCCAAACATCTGAGTTTAGTGATGAGAAGACATTAAGAAGAAGAAAAAACTCAGGATATCTGAAACAGCAATTTACAATTCGACTTTTTCAGAAATTATTTACAAGGATCTGAATTTGAATGGTTAAAATTTCAGGCCATTAAGTGCTGTTTTTAAATTTTAAAAATCACTTAATAGGTCTGAAAGCATCTAATTCGGTCAAATCTGTGAGAGAGTCTTAATCCTATTCAAAGTCTTCAAAGTCTTTTTAAGATGCTGCGTTATTTCCCCAAAAAGCTTACACGTCGTTTTTTCCTCTCTCTCTCTCTCTCTCTCTCTCTCTCTCTCTCTCTCTCTCTCTCTCTCTCTCTCTCTCTCTCTCTCTCTCTCTCTCTCTCTCTCTCTCTCTCTCTCTCTCTCTCTCTCTCTCTCTCTCTCTCTCTCTCTCTCTCTCTCTCTCTCTCTCTCTCTCTCTCTCTCTCTCTCTCTCTCTCTCTCTCTCTCTCTCTCTCTCTCTCTCTCTCTCTCTCTCTCTCTCTCTCTCTCTCTCTCTCTCTCTCTCTCTCTCTCTCTCTCTCTCTCTCTCTCTCTCTCTCTCTCTCTCTCTCTCTCTCTCTCTCTCTCTCTCTCTCTCTCTCTCTCTCTCTCTCTCTCTCTCTCTCTCTCTCTCTCTCTCTCTCTCTCTCTCTCTCTCTCTCTCTCTCTCTCTCTCTCTCTCTCTCTCTCTCTCTCTCTCTCTCTCTCTCTCTCTCTCTCTCTCTCTCTCTCTCTCTCTCTCTCTCTCTCTCTCTCTCTCTCTCTCTCTCTCTCTCTCTCTCTCTCTCTCTCTCTCTCTCTCTCTCTCTCTCTCTCTCTCTCTCTCTCTCTCTCTCTCTCTCTCTCTCTCTCTCTCTCTCTCTCTCTCTCTCTCTCTCTCCTCCCTCCCTCCCTCCCTCCCTCCCTCCCTCTCTCTCTCTCTCTCCAAGAATCAGCACCTCCTCTCTCTTTTAGACAGCTATTGAATTTTTTTCTCTTGAACTAGTCAGAATTTAAAAAGATTACAAATTCTTTGTTTATTACTTTGTATATTCACAATAATCTTGGTATTACAGCTTGCTTCTCCAGAACTCTGAAATTTTGTTGCATAATTTTTTTAATTCAATGAAGTGTATAAAGTCAAGGCACTTCCCTCTCTTGATGGTGAAACTTGATTGACTAACACTAGGAACCAATTCGGATAAAGAAGGAGAGCGGTGATTCGTACTAACGACTAGGATTTATCTCTTTCGCAGCTCACAATAATCATTCTACCGAGATATCTTTAGAAAAGCTATTTTCTCTATTGGATTCTCAGTTAGCTGACTAGGAATTATCCCGCCGATTGGATGAAACCACTTCTTTTGTGCCTGTCTGATTCAATGTTGTCTTCCCACTTCACTAAGAAAGAATTTCGACTGGCCCAGTATTGACTTATTATACAAGTTTTGGATTTCCCATGACCGTAGGAAAGGAGCCACATGGAGGCATTAGCATCTGTTTAATAGTAGACTTCATCACTATAATCCACTTAGAATCGCAAACACGAAAAGAAAAAAATAACCAGAACAAAAAATAGGATGAACGTGAAAAAAATAACAAACTTCATTGAACAAGTATCCTAACCTGGACTGCGTTGTTGACTGACTAGTCAGGCCAGCAAATCCAAAAATGTAGCAAATAATTATACTATGATTAAATAAACATCTAAAAAAATTTAAGGTATAGTAGCCATACTGTCCGGCAGTCTCTATTAACTTGTAGTCCGTATGCACGAAGCCGAGACGCTAATGGGTCCATTACTTCAAAGAGGAGTTCCCCAACTTCAACAGCATCTTGGCCCATGGGAACCTGAAAGTATATTACAAAATTTTGAATATAAACAACGAAGAAAAAGCTTCAGCAGTGAGCCAAAAGGGAGTTATATTTATACTGTTATCTGTTCAATCTTTCGAGCATGCACATATGGTTGCACATCTGGGTCAGTTTCATTTCGATATTCAAGTGTTGATATTTGCAAGTTATCAATCACTTTCTGAACTGCTTGCCTTTTAGCTGACACATGGAAGATCCCAATAAGAAGGTGACATAAGGCATGAGACCAATTTAAATTCCAATAAAGTCCAGCAGATAAATAGTTACTTACACCCAGGTGTAGCAGTTAATGCTAATATCCTGACTTGGACATGAAATGCCACCAACTACAAATAAATCGAAAAAGTTAGAATTTTCACCAACCAAATACAGATAAATCAAGGAATTGAGATGGCAATTTCTAAAGAAAATAATAGTAAGAACACAACTGAAATTTAAGCTCTCTGTGTATTGATGATTGCTAATGATACCTGTACAAGGAAATATATATACAACACACATTGAAGAGTCCTCCAACCTACTTCCTGGGCTATGCTTATCTTCTAGCAGTATTTGTGTATGTCACGCACACATTATGTTATCAGTTTATCACCAAGTGTACTATACCCGTAGGATATTAACTTGGCAACTTTGTTTTAGGAGTAAATCTTAAACACATAAAACAGTAAGCAACATACAACCTGACTGTAGGGTCCTAAGCTAACCAGGATAAGAATGTCTATCCTCCCCCTCCCCCCCCTCAAGCAGGAGTTGGGGTGTCCCACAACTTCTAGCTTGGTTTGTAATGTCTCAAACTGCACTCCGGAAGGGGGCTATGCTTAACGGGAACTGGTCTGATAATCTAAGACTTCCGCTTAATGTTTCTCTTATATTTGGGGACTGGAACTTCTTAAAAAAAGAAAATTATCAAGGAATATATTCATTAAATATTTTGAGCCTTTCAACAATTTAACTAATTTTACCTTTCGAATATGTATTACGTATTCAAATCTGTTTGAACTAGAGGAGGAAAAAAGAGGAGACCGAATCCAATTCTTTTAGATGCTTTATCTAAGAAACTCTACCCATCTATGTTCTAGAACACTCCTGTGTACAAGAGGTATACCAAAAAATTGAGAACCTACAAACTGTGAGAAATATAGGAGAATTAATTTTTTTATTGAATTGTGTATCCACATTATTACATTGTCTTATTTATAGACACTACGTAACAATCCTCATCCAAGTAAGATTTTTATATACTATTCCTATTTTTTTTCCTAGTCTAACCTCCCCTCATGCTGGTGCATACAAGTCATATATACCAACTTGTTACAAATGTAACTAATACGAGGACCAGTGAAGGACTTGGTGAAGATATCTACAAGTAGATCACTCGACTTCACAAATTTTGCAACAATACCGCACAAAATTATTTCTGTCAATCTCAATTTGCTTAGTTCTCTCATGAAGTACCGAATGTGATGCAATATTAAGGGTCACTTGGTTATCACACACAAGTTCCATCTGACTGATTCTCTAAATTTAGTTCTCTGAGTAACTGTTTAATCCAAATTAGCTCACAAGTTGCTACAACATTGCTTTATATTCTTCTTTTGCACTAGATTGAGCAACCACAATTTGTTTCTTACTCTACCTTCTACTAAAACACAATATCTAGATGTCGAACATCTATTAGAGGATGATCCTGCCCAATCATCATTTGCATATCCAATGATCTATTCATGGCCTCGATCCTGGAAGAGTAGTCCTTATAGACAACTGCATCCTAATGACTATCATAGGGGGAATTCATAAATTGGCCAAATGGTACTCCGGTTCTTCACAAAAGACACACATCCTTCAATACAAATAGCAATCTCATGGGTGCCCCAAAAAGAAATTAAGGATAAAAGGCTATTCTTTAATGACAAAATTAATTCAGTTTCTATCAAAAGTTATCCTAATTCTCTCCAAACCCGCATAAGAGCTAACGGAGCAATATCCCATGCACTGTATCTCCTCTTTCTTCTTCTAAAGGTTCAACTAAATAAAGTGTCCTTCACCGTTCCATGCATGGTCGACAGAAATCCAAACTATCTGTAGAAAAAGGAGGTTGACATCCTCTCCCAATATTTTACACATAAAGCACCAACTAACACAAGGATTCTGCTCTTCCTCATGTTTTCAGCAGTCAAGATCACTAGACTAATGGCAACCAGACAAGAAAACACACTTTTCTTGGTGCCTTAGGAATCCAAGCAGATAAGTGTGGGATAAAATGCTAAGTTGCTCGGACTTTCCACTTACGGTGCCACACCCATGTCAACTGTTGACATAACGTGGGTGTGAATGTAGGTGGGGGATACATACCATATTTGATCAGCCGATTATAGATACTTTGACCAAAATTGACGGAGAAATTCATGACAAATACAATAACTTTTGTAATCAAAACAAAAGCTAAGTGGAATTGAAGAAAATGGAATACCTTGTGTATAGAAAATTTCCATGTTAGTCATTTTCCTTTAATCTCTTTCTGGAATTCTCCTCTTGATCAATATTTTTTCCTCGAAATACCTTGTAAGTTTTCCACGTAATGTCTCATAATTTATACATATAACTCTTATTTTTTAATTTAAATTATTTATAGTTGAATCCCCGCACTAGTATCTGTACCTGAATCCCTATTCCAGAATCTAATAATTTAGATCAAGAAGGATCCGACCTCTAGATCCGCACCTGTATCAAATGCTCACACCGGAGAACCTTAGGGGATAAGTGCCTCAAAGAAACACAGAAAAGTAAAGACTTCCTACTATTCAAACACAACTTTTGTGCTATATGAGTAGAACTAACCACTTAAAAAAACACTTATGATCCTCACATTTTTCTTGGGTACCAGATTAAAAGTATACAGCACAATGGACCTTGAGAAAATGAAATAAGCATTTGAATTTTGGAACTCATAGAAGCCTGTCTGTTTGGGATTTGGAAATGAGCCAAACCGAGGATTTGGCTTTAGCAGGGAAAAGCAGAACAAGAATCTGAGGTAGAATGCTGAATTGGATATATAAAGTTGGCACTAGACTAACAATTAGTTTCTACATCTACATAGAGAAAAATGAAGCAAATAAATTATTCCCACAATCCCTTTATGTCAGTTATCACAATGACAAATTTATTTATTTTTTTGATAAGATAAGTGGAATTAATAACAGCATCAAGAAGATGCAAAATTTACAAGATATGGCATTTGAGCTTACAAAAAAATCTCTGGCAAACTATACAAACTATCTAAGCCAGAGCTAATGAGTTAGTAAAATCCTGAAGTTGTTCTGCATTAACAGCAGGATACAAGTTGGACCAACTAAACAAATTTTCAATGCACCTAGTCTTCAAAATGCCTAAAGCAGTTGACTCTCCATCAAAACATCTCTTGTTCCTCTCTAACCAAATACACCAAAAAATACAAGCAGGTATCATAATCCAGATCTCTTGATGGCTTTGTCAACTTTCCATAGACTCCAACTCTCATATGCATCCTTAACAGTGAGGTACGGTTACCCCTAAAGCGAGATGCAAAACATGATGAGCACTTCGCCTCGCTTAGCGGGTGCTTCACTCCCGTCATCAAAGCTATAAGGCATACTTTCCTCTCTAATGAGTGTAATCCTAAGAGGCGACACTAAACAAATCCTATTTTACTTTATTATAAAAAAATCAATTTATTTGTCCATATAATTATTATTCATGCTTACAATTATTAGTCTTGGACTACACATATATTTCTATATTTTTTCTCCATTTGCCTTTATTTGCACTTAACACCCCAATGGACCTTAGAGATTTTTTGCGCTTTTTGTGTTTGATAACACTGCCAGATACAAAAAAAAAAAAAAAAAAAAGAGAACATAATGAATTTTTTGGTCCCATATTCTTGAATATCTATAGCTTTGCTTCTTGATTTGCTATACTCAGAGTACATGGGAATGCTCTGTTAAAGAACTTGGAGTAAAATGTCTTTTACAACCGACATAGAATTAGTACTGCCCTTTCCTTATTCTGATCACACTTGAGAAATCAAATCCATGATACTTTTGAACCTCAGACAGTACCATTTTGGTGCTGTAAGTCATGAATAAAACTACTGTACTTGTAAAAAGTTACAGAGAGGACTTTAAATTTCCTGAATTCCTCTTTCTATTGAAAAAGATATCCATGCAGCTCCACATCATTGTAATAATTAATTCTGGAGTGCAGGATGTAATTGTTGATACACTGTCCAAATTATAGAAGCTTACTATCAAAAAGGAGAGAGGGAGATCGCCTTTCTATTTCTCTCACCTCCCCAAGAATAGATATTCTCATGCAATAAATCTAAATAGTAAATAGTCGACACAGAGAGAACATTGAGCATATTTCCCAGTCATCTAAATTTTTTTAGAAATACTGATTATCAACTGAAAGGAGAGAACAATCATAAACAGATACGAGGTGAAATTCACATAGCAAAGCAACTCATAAAGTTCCAATATAGTGTCACGTTGAAACAGGTATGAAGCAATGTTTAGAAGATCTACTTTAAAAAAAAAAGACAAACCTCGCGAACTACTACACAATAAGAGTAATTTCCACTTGCACGATGAGCCTCGTCGATTACCAAGCAAACTAGATGTTTCATGAAGCATATTCCTGTGATATATTTACAGATATTACATCATAAATGTTCAATATGGTCTGAGAAGGGAATATAACAAAGATATGAGATTTACAATTATCTTAATCAAAAGGAAATATATCCAATGTGCATTCAACCTCTAGTCACGAAGTATTTCCTCGAATTAACACATTTATATGGAAGGACTCATCTGATTGATGTGCTAGCAACTTTTCACCAAGTCCACATTCATGCATTATAAAAGAATTAAAACAAAAAAGTTACACCAACAGCTTTTTATTTATACTAACAAAGTAATCAACCGAGGCTAAGTTGGATCTATTTGGGGTGTTCGCCATTGGCTAGAGCAATCATATGTTAAACTCTGACTATTGGAGAACTTCCCTTGTGTATACTATATTATATATTCCAAGACAGCACAAGATAAGTTTTTGAATCAAGAAGGGATAGCAATCAAGTTTACCAAGAAGCATGCAGTCCCTTGGAAAAAGCACCATAACCATTAACTAAAAACAGATACCAGACCCTAAAGAATGAAGTTGACTCATATGATAGCCCCTAACGAATGACTTCCACCTCCACGACGGAAAACCAATGACACCATAATCATGGAATATAAAAATATCAGGACCGAACTGATGATGAGCATAATGGACAGGAAAATCCATAATCAAATCCAAGTAATTTGAGCAGTTATTAAACTGTTAAAAGCTCATAAAGCAAATAGCAACGTTTTGAGTGTCAATTAACCTAAACAAGTTATACTCAAAGTTGTTATCGTCAAGAAAACATAATTGAACTTACAACTTAACATCTACAATCTTAACCATCTGATACCTCTAATACCATATTTTTTTCATATTTGGAGCATATTTAGATAGTACCGAAGCAGAACAATTCAATTTGGGCCGAGCAATTAACCTATTGTAATTCTTATTTAAACCTGGAATCCTTAAAATAATAGTGTCCTCAAGTTTCTTTTAGATACTTACATCTGATTTTTCTTTAAAATAAGAAAGTTTAATCACAAAATTCACTTGCTAGCTAAATAGATTCTTATCTGCAGAAAGTGTAGAGTTAATATCTGAAAATACCTCCAAGAATATGTCAAAAAATAAATACAAATATATGGATTCGGTTTTAGACATGTTTCCAACACCTCTGATAAGAGAGATTACGGTTGGTGACGCTAAAGTGAGCCAATTATACAAATATAAGTGACTCTCCTCTAGCTAATGCATTGACATCCAGAAATTCAAATAGCTCACTGGAAGTTAAGTTCTATTTCCTATCATGAAGGCACAAATCATGTGCAGGTTAGACCTCGAATAATTGGAAAACATGAAAACTATAAACACATGAAAACGTATCCACACTAGAGTGCAGAATGTCACCAGAATGTATATCCTTCTCCAGCACTTGTGGAGTAACAAAGAAAACTCGTCTCTCTTTCCATAAACTTGCTCTTCTCGAAGGATTTGTTTGACCTGTCAGATCAATTGTGCACTCCTGCAATCAGTTTAATACAATTGTCTCAAAATGTAAATAACAGAACATTTGCTCTTTCAGGACATTGGATTAGGAAAACAACTTTAAACCAATATAAAGCAAAATAAAACTCCTAGCTTACTTGTGGAATATCTACAAACTTGTGTAATGCTTCCACCTGCTGCAGAACAAGTGGGCGTGAAGGAGCTGCAAAAACAATTTTTCCTGCCATTGGGACACCATCCTAAACCGTTAATCCAAAGGATTTAAAATATCATCTAAACAGATATATATATATATATATATATATATAAGCAAGACTGTCATCAGTAACTGAAGGGCTCATCAGGATTCAGCCATGAACTCATTTCTCCTTTGTTCATAAACTCGAAAAAATGCATAAAATGAAGTATCTGGCCTAATATGGTTGCTGCATAATATTTCACAGTTATGAGCATAAGATGTGCACTCAATACACAAGAACTTAATACCTTGAAAAGTCAAAGCAAAATGTAACAAGTAGAATTAGCTGATGACAGACTAAGTTGCTCAGACTCGGGTGCGGATGTCCGATGCGGGTGCGGATGTAGAGGTTAGATCCTTCATGATCTAATTTTTAAGATTCAGGGATATGGATCCACGTGTATCCCGTGTGGATACAGGTACGGGGATTCACCTAAATATAATTAAAATATCTAAAAATGGAGTTATAAAACCTAAATTATGAGATATTATATGTTGAACTTGAGGAGAATCATGGAAGGAGATTAAAGGAAAATGGGTGACATAGAATTTTTTATAGAGAAAATGGTCAAATACCCCCTCAAGCTATATTCAGATTTTCAACTACACACTTATACTTTACGGGGGTCCTATTACCCCCCTAAACTACTTGAAAATGGAATAAATACCCCTCTAAAACATGATAACCAGCCATCTTCCATGTGGTGAAACTCACGCGCTTGACACGTGTGTTTCACCAATTAATCTTTTTTTAAAAAGCTTTCTCTCCTTCTTCTTCATCCTTTCTTCTTCAATCTTTTTGCAGCCCTAATTTTTTTTGTGAAAGCTTGATTTAGGGAAAATATTAGGGAATACATTGGGGGTCTTCTTTTATTTATTTTTTATCTTCCTCACAAGATATATTCGTTGGGCCTCCATCTTTTTAACCATTGTTGTATGAGAAATCGTCGTCACCACCTCCACCTCCATCTTTATCACCTCCCTATCTGGATTTTTTAAAACTCATTACCTGCTAATCTATCAATAGGGGATTCAAATCTTTTCTCCCTAACTTCACAACTTGTTGCAAATCTTGATCCTTTAGTGATTTTTCTTTCAATTTTTCACTTTCGTTTTACTTGATAAATCAATCATAGCAAATCAGAGTTAAATAGTATAAATACTTGAAAAACATGCTTTAATTTGAACACTTCTGTTTTGATATTCCGATTTGATGATTGCTTTAATTTGTCGAAGAAATTTCGATGATAATGGTGGCGGTAGGTTAGGGATGCAAATAGTGGAGAGTACCTTGACTCTTGAAATAAACCCATTTTAAGTGGAAATAGTGAAAGAGTACCCTTGACTCTTAAAATAAACCCACATCAATTTTTCTCAAATTTAATCCAAAATTTGTGGGAATGATATAAATATATGTAAATTTATCTACAGTTTATTTGGGTTGATTGATTTTGCAAGAGTATTATATGAGTTCGAAAATTTGTTTGGAATCAACAATAATGAATTCGATAAAATTGGTGGTGGCAGCACCGGTTTAGAGGTGGTGAATGATGGAGAGATTTGATTTATATTGTTATGGAGAAGAAAGAAAATAAATAATTAAAAGTACATATGTTTATTGAAAAGCGATACTAAAAATAAAGTTTTAGTAATAGCTTTTGATGCTCACTCTCTCAAAGAGAGTGAAATACACTCACATTGCCAACTAAGCATTTAGGGAGGTGATAATTTCAATTTTAAATAGTATAGGGGGATGATAGGACCCCCATAAAATTAAAGTGTGTAGTTGAGAATTCGGATATACGTTGAGGTGGCATTTGGCCATTTTCTCTTTTTTATATAAAAGGTATTTCATTTTCTTCAATTTCACCTTAGCTTTGTATTGATTATAGAAATCATTAAAACTGTCTAGACTTTCTCCATCGATTTTGGTCAAAGTACCCACAATCCGTTGACCAAATTGGACACAAATCCCACACCCATGTCGTGTCGACACGGGTGCGGCACCAAAAGTGAAGAGTCCGAGCAACTTAGCTGACAGATGTGCATCGAAATCAAAATGATGATTGGCAAATGGCAAGAGCTTAATAAGTGAAGTTTATGCCAAAATACTCGAGGTTTACCGGTTCATATATCATGAATTTAAACTTGCTCTTCTGCAGCATGTAGCAGTGGATGTTTAGTAACAGTGGGGATTTTCGCATGTGGAGTTCTTGATACGTCTTTTAAAACAAACCCTTCATTTTTTTGTTATACAGGGTGCATGATAGTTGAAATTGTGAAAGATGTCGTCAAAGTAAAGAGGATAAAGGGAAGCATGGAGTCCTAAAATTGCTATAGAACTGATCAGGTCACACTTGCGCAACTTCATTAGTCATCTGAATGAATGAGATAGTGTTAGATTAGAAGGAGGAGGACTACAAACATCTGTCCCTTGAACCAGCAGGGAACCATGCATTTCTCACAAGCAGGGATTTTGCGTGTCCAGGATCCCTTTAGGTCTACCGGTGACTGACTAGGGGCTTACAACCGTTTATTGGGGGTGGAAAATGAATCGGCATCTCAATGTGATACAACCGTTTTGAGTTTTTTTGGGAAATTATGTTGAGTCCATCGAAACCATACATTGAAAAATAAGAGGAGAGCAAAGCCCCAATGACACACTATTGACTAACCATTTCACAATTAAACCACTATTTAAACTTCCCAGTCTTTTCAACCTTTTACTCTTAAAATATGTAGAGGTTAAATTGGGTTTAGTTTATCGGGATGCGGACAGTAAATCCCAATGTTCAAAGCACCTACTTAATATTCTTGCATAGCTCAAGATTTCAGCAGATTCAGCTGAGACTAACCTTGCTTCTCATAAACTAGCACTCCAATGTAGAGACATGATGAGAGTAATTCTTGGAAATAGAATGGTCACAAGTTTGAAAGAGTAAGAAATAAGATAGTTGTAGCATTGCATTACCTTCTGGGAACCACCTGAAATAATTATACATTACAACAGCAGCAATAAATGTCTTTCCAAGTCCTGTGGGTAATGTTACTAAGGTGTTGCTAAAAAGAGCAGTGCGGATGATAGAAAATTGATAATCACGACGATCGAAATTTACTGCAAGGAAAAAGAAGGTAAATGAACATGAGTCTTCATTCCAAGAAGCTTCTACAATGATTTATCTAAAAGATAGTAAAAGACTATCAGTTAAATCATAGAGCTTATAATTGTCCATGCACAAGTTTCATTCAAGCAGCATAATCTACTGTATTTAAGTATCATGCTAGCACACTGAGGGTACTTACAATTTTAAAAAGAGAAGTCTTAAAACTATAAAAGGAAAGGAGGGAGACACTAGCACTTGGCAAAAAAAATTACTACCTCCGTTCACTTTTACTTGTCACATTTGGACTAGGCACACCCATTAAAAAAATAATAATTGACATAGCAATTTTACCACACTACCCGTATTAATTGATGTTTAGTATTAGATCTTGAGAAACAATTTGGAGAATAAGTAACTAATGCTAAGGGTAAATTATGGAAAAAAAATTGACTTCTCTTGATATGTTAAAAGTGACAAGTAAAAGTGAAAATCTATTTTCGGAATAGTGTACAAGTAAAAGTGAACAAAGGGAGTATAATTATTTTCCAAAGATCAACATAAAATGACTTCCACCTATTCGCACCATCGCTATATTATTATTATTATTATTATTATTATTATATGTATAAGCATAACAATAAATTAACCAAGTGAAATACAACACATGATTCTTCTTTGGTTCTTTCTTTTCAATACTGGTGGTGTTCGACCAATAAACACGGGCCTCGACTGATTCATTTGGCAGTTACTACACACACAAGCGCAGTTCTCAGCTTAACCTGCTCACAGAGGATGGAAAAGATACTACCAAGTATTGTAGTTGAGATTCAAACACTCCAAGTTGTACTTATACACCTCAACCACTCAGTGATCCTCTTGGGGATACAACAAACCGTATATATTAATTCCTAACAAGCCCAATCAACAACTAAAGTAACTATCATACATGTTGGGTGAGTGAACAACCTCCCAGGTGAAAAGTAGCAAACAAAAAGAAGCTACTTATGAGGTTTTGGATACGCCTTTTGGGGAAAACCATGTGGGCTTGGCTCAAAACAAATAATATCACACTATGTTAAGAGTATCTTTGGGTTGTTTTACCCCAACAAAAGGCATTAGAGCCAATGGTTTGGCAGAAGAGGTAGCGGAGTGATGGCATGGCGTCCAAGTTTATTCTTTGATATATCTCACTCCGCTATGCTAGAAGACTGAGCAGCTTCAGTTTATTACCAACCTCGGGTTCAACAACTGTTGGGCAAAGCCTAAACCTTACTCCTTTCCTTCTATCGGTACTGGCAACATATCGCTAGATCCGATGCAACTAGAAGTCAGTCGATTCCATCTAAGAATGGTTTCAATCCAAACCCTTTTTGTCGAGTGAAACTCTGCTTCTTAAGAGCTTTATTTGGACAGACTCACTCCCTTACTCGTTGTCTAATATTCCACTCGCTTCCTTTTGGAAAAGAGTCTAAACTGATAGTCATCGCCTTTCCCTTTCGACTGGACAAATTCAATAGCTAATCCTAGCCCAATTCCAAGATCTAGACCTCT